CGGGGAAAAGAGTGTAGAGCTGGAGAAAAAAAAAAAAAGAAAAAAAAAGAAAAGAGTCCTTAAAACGCAACAAATGACAAGCAGCGGCGGGCAGCACAACGCTGTCAGCGTGTACAGTAGAAGCAGAGCGGAGGCGCACTACACCGGAAAGAAAACAGCGAAGAAGAAGATTGGAAAAATGGTTTTTTTTTCATACCTGTGTGAGGCAGTATGGGGAGTACATGGCTGTGTCTAGAGATGAAAGTTGGAGTAGTTGATAATAAAGTTGGATGGAGGTTCGCTGCGGTGCCGCATTGCAAAGCCGCTGGTGCTCAGTCCAGGCTGTAACCCCGCCTCACTCACAGTGAAAGCTCCGCACCAACTTTAGGAGAAAGTTTGTCTCGCTCGCTCTCCCTCCCTCCCCGCCTCCCTCTTTCTCTCTAACGCTCCCTCTCTCTCTCTCTTTCTCTCTCTCTCTTCTCTCTCTTTCTCCCTTCCCGCTTTTTTTTTTTATTTCTGTCAGATCGACGCGATTCCATCAGCACTTATAATAATCACCGACTTTTCATTCCGTTATTTCAGATAAAGACGAATCTGTGTTCGCTGAGACCCCCTCCTAAGGAAGCGCGTGAAAATACAGTATCCCTGCTGTACAGTAGAGGCTTACAGTGTGCATGATGTGGCACTCTGTGGTGAGTTCAGTGACCTCGTCGTGTTTTCTGGTAATCTGTGTGATCAAATTGGTGGTGAATATCTTCAATATCTCTACAATATTTCCATCTGGTTGCATGGTTTTGCAGAGGTGTCTGTCACTAAGCTGCTTCAGTGTGTAATCTTGTGAGAGGGGAGGACAAGTCCTGCATCCCTCTAACCCTCTCTGCACCACACAGTTATAAAGTTGTACTTTGTTCAAGAAGATGTCACGCTGTTAAATAAATCATCTTGCCAGGGCATGCATGAAGTACACTTTGTAACTTAGTGGCATTAACTATGGTGGGAGCTTTTGAGTTGTTTTCTTTGAAAGCACTTTATTGTGACTATATTGTGATTATAAAAAAGCCATTTAACACTTGACCTTTGCTGTTGTGAGATCTTTTATCAGGACTTTTTTTTTTTTTTTAGTTAACAAATATTAGTAGACCTTTCTTTACACGACGAACTCAGGAGGTACATGACTAAAATATATTAAAACATATTAAAACATATTTTAAGAAAGCTCAAGAGGCATCTCTCACACATGGCTACTGGTACTTTTTTTTTAAATGTGTATGACCTCATATTATTTTAAGTGGATATTTCCATACACTTTATTATAGATAGATAGATAGATAGTCTTTCTGGTGTTTTAACAGTAATCTGAAGTTCTTATTTAGTCCCTTTTGATCTTGGTGTCAATTTAATATTACAAAAGAGTCTTTCCAGGGCATGCATGAAGTACATTTTGTAACTTTGTGTCATTAGCTATGGTCGGATATTTTGAGCTTTTGAGTTGTGGTCTTTGATTTGTGTGACTTGTTTTAATCACTGATGTTTTGTTTCATGTGATTTAATGTTTGTTTTCTCGTGTCTTTTGGTCTGGATGTCTCTTATAAACGGTGTACTCATAAATGTGTTGTTGTTATCTTCCTGTCTGCACAACAAATGCACTTTTTTAAGGTGCTAATAAAGAAACCTTTGACCGTAGATCGGTCTCTAACAGCTTACATGGCGAGTGCAAATGCAAACGATACAAATGACTGTTCTGGCACATTTCCTAAGAAATCTATTTTTTGTAACTTTCATATCCTATGCAGTCGTACAAAATGCAGAAGCAACCCAGAGAGTGACCAAAATAGAAACAAAAGGATTGAAATTTACAGCAGAGATTTTCTTTTTTTTTTTTTTTGGTTGCGCTGTTGTGTTAGCCCCGTCGGCTGCAGAGTGACATAAAGCTTTCAGCACACAGTAAACTCAGTCAAGTGTCTTAAGTGGAAGAGGCCCCATGTTCTTTTAACGTGAGCCTTCTGTCCTTTAAAGTCAAAAGTGTGCAATGGACAAAGTGTTTGATGCAGCGGAAACACGAGCTCACATGTGGCCCAAAGTCATTTGTGTTGAATTTGTTTTACAAGGTGTCACGGCTGGATCGGACTCCTGACTGTCAGCTTCATTTCACAGGCGTGCGTCACTGACAGGCGAAGGTGCTCATCTGAATATTATGAAGGGGGGTAGTTTACTTTTCAAACTTAAAGATCAACCCCAACCTTATCCGAGGTTCTTCTACAAAACGTTCAAGAAACAATGAAAAGTTATGACAACAAGTTGAACATTTACGGCCTGAATGATTCATTAAGCTGTGATTCTGCTCATATTCTAGTGAACTGTATCTCTATTCGGAGACAAAAGATACCTGAACTCGGACAAAGTGGTTTAAACCAGTTTCATTGTGCCTGCCATTGTATGGAAGCGATACACTCTGTTTCTAATCAGGCTTGGCTTTATCCTCGCCCGCTCCCTGCTCCTCAGTCTAATCAAACTCATATATGCAGGCAGAGTGCCTGCAATTATACATAAGCCCCTGCCGCGTGCATGTGTGCGAGTGTGTGAATACAATTCTGCATGTGTGTATGTCTCAGTGTGTGTGTGTGTGTGTGTGTGTGTGTGTGTGTGTGTGTGTGTGTGTGTGTGTGTGTGTGTGTGTGTGTGTGTGTGTGTGTGTGTGTGTGTGCAAGGGTGCGGTTTCTGGGGGTTGAAGTCACCCCAGCTCTCCTATGCCAAGTTTTTCAGGGGGATATGAAGCCGTGCAGCTTTACGAGACCTCAGCCTGTGTAGGATACTTAGACACTCACACCACAGACACACATGCATATAATGTACAGAATGTACACACATGCACGTACACACACGTTTACGTACACGGCCACAAATGTCTTGCGGTCAGAGATTTGCTGGCACTAGCAGCTAGAAAAAGAATTAGATTGAGAGAACGGAGGAAAAAAGACTGAATAAAAAGTGCGAGAAAGTGAAGCATATTGAGGTGTAGTCAATTCTTTTCCCATAGTCTCTCTTCTTTCCAAACCACACCCCAACACGGCACAGGCCCAAAACCCAAAGCCTTTGTGTGCTCCCTCGCTTTCCCTTTTTCTCTTTCTGCCTCCACTCCTTTTCTTCTTCTTTTTTTATGTCTCTGCCGTTCTTTTTCGCTACCTTTTTTCTCCTTTTCTATCTTCTAATCCACTGGTGTTCCCGCTCTCTTTCATTTTAATCACACTGTCCTTTTGGTCAGTCCGACTTTTCTGTCCGTCTTTGTCTCTGGGCGTTCAGCTTGGGCCGAGACGACCATCTCAGTATTCAACACAGGCGCTCTGGCTCTAACAAACAAACTATAGCAACCACAGGATTTACAAAAACACAGACGCTCAGGTCTCCCTTCCAAACTCTCCCTGATCAAACAGTCCGGTGCAGCACCTACCAAAGCCCCTCGAGCGCTCGGGGCCCTCGCCGTTTCTGAGTTTGCAATTAAAAAGCGCACGAGAAAACCATATGGTGTGTCTAAAGTTAGCATGTTGTGGTCGCCCATTGACACACGGACCTGCCCATATACTCGCTGTTTACCATCGCCTGTGGCTAGGCCATTAAATATTGAAAGTGATGTAGCATACTGATACTGCCATTAGCATGCTAAATGTGTGAGACAGGTGGTTGAGGCCGCCGTTCAAAAGGCAGGAAATATGTGCGTGGAAAATGTGTGTAACTGTGCCGTTTACTACGCTGTGCAGTGTCAATATTTTTTGAGTAAGCTGTTTATGTGTGCTCTGGGAGGGAGCACGCCAGTCAAATGCATACAGGCATATGCAGTCAGAGAGAAATGGCTGACTGGCCGTTATGGCTAACAAGCATATCATACACAGTGTGGATCCCACAGACTCCACGGATCTGTTTGCAATCTGAGTGTGTGTGCAGAGCAATGTGTTACGCCTTCTGCTTTTTATGTGTTTACCGAGTGCAATAGCTGCATATATACGCTTTACTCGACTGGTTTGGATTACCGCCTCCCCACTGAGTTTGTTTTCAACAGGAGGGAAATGTATAGATTTATTACTCTGGAGTGATGTCATCATTTCTTCATTTAAAGTCGGAATTCAACGTGTCAGCTCAGGTCGAGGAAAGTTTTCCACAAGTTGTCATCCCGATGGAATATGTGCTGTTTTCTTTTGGTCTGTTCTTTGATGTGATAGGACGGTGAAAGGCGAGGACACATGCAGCAGGGGGAAGACGTTTAGAAGTCTGTTTATGTTGCACACGCTCCGACCACGCAGCTAAAACAGCATCCTGAATATGTGCTTTTCTTTATGTTTAAAAAAGAAAAATCTGAAAATGACCACATGCAGAAACTGTCAGAAGCACAAAGTGTCCTGCGAAATAAATATATTTGTTTCCATTTTGTTCTGCAGCTGGCTTTTTCCTCAATGTGTCTACAATCTGCAACAAAGCCAAACTACTTCTTCCCATAAATAATACCCACTAAAAACACATGTCACAGAGAAGTTGACATTTTGAGGGAGTATGTGTTTATGCAGGGCAATGCTGCCAACCGTCAGCAGCAGGCTGCAGATGTGTTCAGGACATTTTTAGATTGATTTGACAGGAAGATGATATTTCAGCATGCTCACAGGCTGAATGATCAACATTTTAAGATGTGTGTTGTATTTCCAGGACGTATACTGTAAACCTCAGAACCTCCAACTCAAGAACTGAAGAATAAAATGACTACAATATGGCATCCTTAAAGTGATGTTCGAGCTTCATGATTCTGAAACAGGCACTGAACGAGTCTTTTATACTCTGAATGCATTCCTTTTCTTTACTGTGTTCATTTTTCACAAAGAAAAAACAGATTTCTTTAATGGATCGGCTTATTTGTGTTGTCCAGAAAATACTTATGAGGACTTCAACATGACAAAAACTATCTGAGAGAGCTATGTTTGTCTGTAGGTGGGTATGCATGTAGGTGTGTGTGTGTGTGTGTGTGTGTGGATATTTACCCTGTATGTATCCGACACGAGGAAACATTCAGGCATCCCTGGGCCTCTGGCAGGATCGTCGTTCACCAGGTAGGTGTCAGTAGCCTAAAAGAAACCAACCAAAAAGAAGAATGTAATTTAATGAAAACATATTGAGGTTATATGGTTATAAAGGTCGTAAACCATTTCATAGACTGTGTTAGGAAGCAGTTATCAATCCTGTGTTTTTCTCTCAGTCCTTAGAAATTTGACCGTCTCCCTATTTCAAAATTCGCAATGAAAAACAAGACAAGTACAGTGATGAAAACATTTCCCCAAACACTTGATGATTCTATTCCTCACAATATTTACAAAAAATAATCCTGCAAAAGAATGCAGTTAAAGTTCATACGATGTCGGCACGTTTGTGACCGGTCATGTCCTGAGTTCACCCTCTTCAAAAACATGCACTTTATTTCCTTCCCTCTGGGACACAAATCTGAAAAATGTACCTGACCCAAAAGAAACTATCTTTTGACCCTCCCTACTGGTCTCATTTCACCCCCCCCCCCCCCCCCAAAAAAAAAAAAAACCCAGCGCCTGGTAACAACTCCTGCACTTTACATCCCCAGCCAGACTGTCTGAAAGTAGCAGTGTGTCTGCATGCATGTGTGTGTGTAAGTGTGCATTCAGGGAGCTTCATTTGTATTCTAAGTCAAGCAGGCAGGCAGGCAGGCAGGCAGGGTTCTGGCAGGGCCGGGAGCTGTGAAATGGGCTCTCCTTGCAGTTCTGCCGTTGATTGGATCAACCTATCCCACTCTACTTAGCCGAAGGGAGCCCAAATCCCACAGCCGCTGTGCCGCTCTGTGAAATCCTATTTCATTTCACAACTTTAACGGATAAAAAAGCGTGCACACAGGCTTGTGCCAGCCCGAGACCCCATGCCACATCTATTTAGCCGAACAGGAGCGGAGAGTGAACAGTGCATGTGCTGTGTGGAAAACCTTTAAATGCACACACATACGTTTAGTCTTACCCTCTCGAAAATATAATCACCTGCACAAACTGTATATACGTTTGCTTTTTTCCACGCCCATGTGCTCTCTTTCTTGCACACAATCACACACACACACACACACAAGCGCAGGCACACGTGCATGCCACTTACGCAGACACACAGACACAAACCCCATAATAAGAGCCAGACATTGGCAGACCACACAGCCCTGAGTTGTGGTGAAAACAAAGGCTATTCATATCCTTCGCAATGAGAGGTCTGTACGGCGAACTCTCTCCTTCTCCCTCTCTCCCCCGTCTCTCCCCTCAGCGTTTTATTACAGATAATCTGCGCTTGCAAACCTTCCATTTTTTTCTGCAATTGTGCGATTTCTAATCATCTTTATTAGTCCATAAACATGTTGTTTTTATTTCTAGTCTCATTTTTTATAGCTGAGGCCTCCGGCTCCTTAAGGGGGCAACACAGTGCCCATTGTTGCGCCGCAAGAAGAGGGTGAAGCCAGGAACGGAGTGAGAGAGAGGCCTGCTGATAAGGCTGCAAAGCATTATGGGAATTGGGTAGCAGAGAGTTCCACACAGAGAAAATGCAGACCCTCAAAGTCTGCCAGGCCACATGTGTCTGATAATGAGTCGATCCATCTGATTGGCCGACGGTCTGTATAACGGGCCTGGATCCACAGCACCTGTGTGTGTGTGCGTGTGTGTGGGTTCCAGACCAGCAAAGCGGACCACAATGCACCAGGTGTGATGGGGCCTCTGTGATTGGCTGTTACAGGCTAGAAACAGGGTCAGGTGCACCAGCAAGCCTCTCCTGATTGGTCAAGGCCAGACCCAAATAATGACAGCGAGTGGGACAGATCTGTTTTTTCATTGGCTGTTGCTGCCTCATTCTGCTGGTGATGGGGTGCCTGGCAGGGTGGCATTGGGACAACTGGTTTAGCTGGGACTGTGTGAGGAAACAAACAGAATTTGAGAGTATCTTTGTACGTATTCATCTCTCTTCATATGCAGAGGTTGGCAATATTTGCTCATCCTTTATGACACCCATAGTGCTCCTTTAAACAACGTCAAACAAACTAAACATCAACTGCACTCCAACAATAGATAATTTGCTCTCATTTCATATTAACCGCCCGACAAAGAAGCGTTAAAATGCCCTCTTTATGTTGTCAGCCAAGGAAACAGGTGTTGATGGACCTCAATCCCATTGTGCAACAGTGAATAACACACAGCTAATGAACAGGCTAAGCTCTGTACCTGCCACAGGGGAGGCCAGAACACACTGACTGCCTTTGTAGTAACCCCCCTCCCAAAAAAAAAAAAAAAAACTCCCAGCCCCTGAACACTCTCTCCTGCAGCAGTGTATGAATTATATATTGTACTATATATATAGAACATATGCCCGGCCCATATGGCCAGCCCTGAGCGAAAAAATCTCAAAGCCCTCCTTAATTAACATTTTAGAGGGAAGATTCGGAGGCGGGAGTTTGAGTCAGTGACCTATTTGGAGTCCATCATCGCCCAATGCAAATGTGTTAATTGAGACAGATTTTCCCACTCCACAAATATGCAATGGAGGATTTTTTTTTTTTTCAATTTTTTTTCCTTTTTTTGTTTGAGCCATCTGATCTAAGTTAGGGGTATAGTGTCTGCTTTAAACTGACAAAAGAAGACACTTCTCTTTCACTTTCTCACACACTCTCTCCTTGGCTGCCTCTCTCTCTCTCTCTCTCTCTCTTTCTCCGAGTATATGTGTTGACGACCATATGGCCAAATTCTTTGGAGGTGAGATCTCCGAAACCTGCTCACACACTCGTGCGCACACTCACAGCTTTGTGTATAAAAGGCCCTGATGGTGGAATTTGTTCTCAGATGGCTCCATTTTAAAGCACATGAATGGCAACGTATCAATGATCCTCCTCCCTATCTCAGTGTCCTCCCTATCTCACACTCACACACACTACCTTCACACAAAACCATACACTGCTCACACACACACACCTGGTGCAATAGTCCGTCCTTCCCCTTGTTTCCAGAAAAGCATTTATTCTCTCTGCTACACACTTTAAGTGCTTTTTGACATGTCTTTTTTAAAGTCTATAATTATTATCACCACTATTGTGTCTGAAACGCGTTTCATCATCATGATTTGGTGGCTGGAGCTATCACTGCCAAATTTAAGGCACAGGATGAAAATTGGGGAGAAGAGGGGGGTGGGTGGGGATGGGGGATGGGAGGGAGAGACAGAGAGAGAGAGAGAGAGAGAGAGAGAGAGAGAGAGAGAGGGAGAGAGTCCAGCCAACCTGCGTGAGATGGCAACCACTTCAAAGACGGCGGGCCGCACCGGCGATCTGTTCCACGGTGTGTGAGGGGTGTATGAAAGGCAGAAATGGCCGCCGTGTGAGTCCCTGCCAAAGCTACCTCAGGGAGAAAAATGTTGGAAAAATACGATTTTTCACACAGCCATCTCAGGAGGGGGAGGGGGGAGAGGGGGGGGGGGCAAGGGGAACCGGGGAAAATAATAAGAAAGAAGATGAGAAAGTGAGGAGCTGCATTTAAAAAAAAAAAAAAAAAAAAAAAAAAAGAAGAAGCGATGGATGGCTGAGCAGAGTGGAGGCTAATTATTTCACTCCACTTGTGGGTCCTGGAGGTTTTGTTGGGCCAGAAGTACAGCCAAGACACAGTGCTGAAAATTGCATTTGGCTTAATTGTGCAGTTGTGTTTTATAACAGTGTGGTGGTGTGAATAGTTTCTGTTAAGGAGGTAGGGTAACAACATAACTTCAGATAACTTAAAGCAACTGCAAGGAACTTTTGGTTTGAATTTTGGCGACCGCCGTGTACAGAACTACGTCTCCTCTCTTTGTTGCCACGTGCACGCGTATATGTAGTATTCTCTACTGAAATGTCTCACGCTACCTGCTTTAACCTGTAAAACGTATTACTCATCATGAAACTTTCTCTGGGAAATTGTTCTCAAAGGCCGTTTTGTCTTCAGCTGACACCTACCCCCGGTGACAGCGATGTCAAGTCATTCAAAATATCTACACAGAAACAGTCGAACTTCCTCCTGATTGTCTCGTTCTCTTTTGTAGGCTCATGAAGAGGCACGCATTTTAAAATGAGTCTGTTTAATCTCCAGTACAAAAAACTCCCCACAGGACCTTTAATCAAGCATTTAACGTTTACCAGAATGATCACCACCAAGTGGTTTTGTGCTCAGAATCCAAACTAGTTAACAGCAATAATTATTCCAGGCACTGAAAATGGCTGATCCAAAACTATGTAAAGAAATACATCCTTAAACCAAAACTGTTTTGGTTAAACAAGTTTGAACAGAGAGCACATTGGGACACGCCCAAAGATTGGCCCTGATTGGCACCCTGCCTGTCAACTACTGATCTTGCTCGACAGGCTGGCCTTTAGATACCATGACACCCTGCCAATATAGCAGCAGCAAAACTTCTCGAGCTGCAACTTTCTTTTTCCTGCCACGCTGCATGTACACAGACAGGTAACCTAATACCACTGACTGGCACTACTTTTCTTACATGGATCCCTATTTAAGCTTTTGGGCCAAACCACACTCAGCCGCAATGCCTATGTGCATTTAACAATGAGGTTTGAGCTGCTACAATCAGGCCTTTGTGTCACACAAGGACTGATCCATGGGGAGATTTTCTTGTGGTTATGGTTCTAATACAGCAGAGTCTACCACAAAGAGCAGGAAGCATAGAGTTACATTCACACACACACAGAGACACACACAGACTCACTCAATATGACTTAATAAAGCAGTGTTTAAAATGTCTCACCCACTTCCAACTCAACTCAAATGATACTCTAAAAATTGACTTAATAACACGTTAAAGGGTCACGCCCACCTCCCTGCTTGGCACCAATAGACAGCCTCAGCTTGCGTTTGACTGACAGGTTTTGTGGTTGGCAGGTTTTTCTCTGCAACAACCGCAATGCAAACCAAGTGTGAAATTATAGGCCCACAATCAAAACAGAACGAGGACGGCGATACGGCTGCCAATTATAAAGCATTGTCTGATGGTTGGTTTACCTTAAGAAGCCGAGGCGGATGATTACACAGCTTATATCTCGCATCACATGACGCCTCTTGTTGTTTTTGTTGTTGTGCAGGTTTGACTGGGTGTCACTGAGGCCAACAAACATTTTTGGAAGGTGAAACCACAATAAAGTTATGTGAGAGGGATATTTAAAAACACATGAAAGGAGAGTGCTAACAATGTGTCACTTATCTGTCAGGCAGGAAACAAGTTGATCATGTTACTTTAAATGATTCAGAGCAGACTGACTGGATACTTGTATGATATTACCTGTAATGACCTAACTCATTATTTTTATTTAACTCTATTACTGACCAGTCTGAATATAAGATCATATATATATATACAGTATATAGAAGAATTATATGTATTCTTTGTACCAAATAGAAAGAGTAGATATGTTCATACCAGACTTTGAACAAAAACTGAATTGTCTTTTTCACATTTTCTCACGTTCTACCTGAGAATGTTCAATGTTTGTTGTTCCTATCATCATGTAATTTATTTTAATATCAAATGTAAATCGTAACACATTTACAAAAGGACCACATGAATCAAAGTCTGAGTCATTTGTTTAACAGAAAACGATTTTCACAATCACTGAGGTGATTAATAGATGTTGATCGTGTCATGGCATGTCATAAATATAATTAGAAATATCTGATCTTTTTTATCCAGGTCATGAGTAAGAAGCAGCAGCTGTACATGCACACTAAAAGACAGGACTTCTGCACATATTTCACTGTGGCGCTGAGAATATCTTATGTGTGTTGTATTTATGTTTGATGTATTTATGTGGTGCAAAGACTTTGCCAGGTAAAAAAGAAAAAAAAAAAAAAAAAACGTCCACCCAGATATTGCTTCAGTCTTCATATGCTTTAGATTTCTATCACTTTGTCTTAAACTTCAGCTCTAAACTCGGCAAACTATGGATTTATTCTTTTGGTGAAATTGTTATAATTTGCAGAGTGAAACTGCAGGGTGTAAAGAGAAACATTTTCAGTGACATCAGAATATTACGCTGCCTCAATCATTTTAAAACAATCCCAGAGTGATCATGCTCATCCAGGTTCGTATTTCTATGTCACTGCAAAATCATCCAATCCTAACCCTGGGATATTTGAACTCCACAATGACAAATAATAAATAATAGCACCTCTAATGTAATCTCTTGGGTTGATAATGAGGAGTAATTATATTGCATGTCTTACCTCGAAACCATTGTATTTATCATTAAAACATATTAGCGTTGCAGTATGAGAGAGACTGTGAAAAGTCAAATAATCCTCCATGTGATGTACTGACAAAAAAAAGCAGTTAAGCACTCTAAAATCTAAGATTTTAAGCAGATGCCTGCAGTATAATTTAATATTTATCCCTAAAACGCTGCAGGATTTAAACAGATTATTAGATCAAAATCACCAGATTTTCCTGCTTTGGATTTTTTTTTTTTTTTTAAATGTTTAAATCAAATAAAATCCTATACAGCACTTGTTCTGGGGACGACAAAGACGGCCTGTGTGTCACCTCACCTCCTCCCCTCCCACCCCGCAGTCGCTGTAAAGTGTCATCAACTACGTAAATCAAGTGTCCATTGATAAAAATACAACAACAAAAAACAGCAGACAGATGAGACCCAGCCCGGGTTGCGAAGTAAAGGATGGAGGAGCAGCAGCAGCAGCAGCAGCAGCAGCGCATAATCAGAATATCATCATTCTAAACATCATCATCATAACCACATACTACACTGTGTCCTTTCATTTCTCCCAGTCTGTGGTCTCATGTGTGTTTTATTCTGTTTGATCTAAACAGCGCAGAAACATCAGCCTTCACTCAAAACCCTGCAAACATTTCAGCCTCAAGTCTGTTACTGTATCAGAGAGGCTTCATCCGGATAAATCTGAACATTTTTCAAGCAGAGAAATATTTTTGTTCTCTTTTGGGAAATGTTCAAGGGAATTAAGTGTAAGGGAGCGCGTCAAAGGAAGACGTCTTTATCCTTTTTAAATATCTCAAACACATTGACATGATGAGTGACAGTCATCACATGACATGCTTTTAAATATTAGTTCAATCAACGTGAGTTAAGATGCTTTAAAAATGATGGAGGAGGAAAACGTATAGAATGCTGTTGTAGGTTAACACACAGTTTCTCCCCCTGACACACACACACACGAGCGCGCGCGCACAGGTGTTGTATCGTCATCTTTGGCCTCACACTCCACAGCCAGCTCTAACTCTACGTCTCCAACAAAGTGCAGATTTTCCTTAAACAAAGAAATGAGGACTCTAAAAAGCCTGCAGGGCTTCAGTTAAACACGGCGATGTTTGGTTTATTTTCAGTCCTATAGACTTCACCCTATAGAGCCAACAGAGGGGAACTATTGAGTTACACAGCACGTACCATTATAGCGTGGGGAGATCTGCCAACCCTCTCAATGCCCCATTTTCCTTTAAAAGTTCAGCTTCCAAAAAAGTGAGAGAGGGAGTGCGGGGCTGAGGGAGGAAGACTTGGTCTCTTTCGCTGTTGCCGGAAGCAAAAAAAAGGACCTTTAAACAAGTCGGCCTTAGGCCCAGTCAGAAAAAAAAAACACGCGCTTTCAAAAGTGGGTCCACTCTGCAAGAGATAGGACGAAAGCAGGACAGCAACTCCGAGCCCTCCGTTTACCGCTGTGTGGCCTCGGATGCGCCCATGTCCAGCAGCAAGAAACCAGGGAGACGTCTGCGTCAAAGTCCCGAAGGTGCGTCCGTCGGCGGCAGAACTTGGAGACGCCAAAAAGCTCCAAAATTAAATCAACAGCACGATCAAATCAAAGGACGGCAGAGGTGATGCAAAGTAAGTTCTTTCTTGTATTTTTCCGCGTGCAGTTCTTGCAGTCGGGCAGCTTCTGCCTCGAAAACGTGTCCAAAAGCGGCTGTCTCCTGCGCGGCGCGTCCGATCCGTTTTACCCTCGTATCTCTCTCTCTCTCTCTCTCCCTCTCTCTCTCTCTCTCTCCCTCTCCTCTCTCTTGTTCGAAACACACACAAACACACGGCCGCACACACGCGCGGTGTGATACACACACAAAACGGGGGGACACCCCTGGTCCCACGCCGCCGCCTCCTCCTTAAAGCTGACGAGATGAAAGAGCAGCTTTGCGTTTTGTGCTTCTTCTTCTTTTTCCTCCGATCTCTGCGTGCGGGATGCCTGCGCAGCGGCGCGGTAACGACGGTCCGCGGGCTTCACTGGAGCTCTGTGCGTAAAATGGAAGCTTCTCTGTTGCGCTCCGGCTGCGACGACAGACAGCCCGCACTTCCCTCCCCAAAAAAAAAAAATATCAGCCACTAAATAGCTCACCTCAAAGCGTGCGACCTGTTTACACCCACACACAAACTATACTAGACGGGGAATTAGGGCAGTTGTTTACGCTGCTTTAGCCGGCAGCGTCGAGCTGGTGAATTATCAGGTGAATTATTAATAAAGTGAGCGGTGTGCAGGCTGTCGCGGAGAGAGCGCAGCGGCCAGGGGAGCAGCTGGGGCTTTAGGAGAATTAGGAGGACCAGGGGCTAAATCACGGACGGCGGGGATTATAGGGCTCTACTGGCTCCTGCCTACAGGTTTCAGAGTGCCACTGCAGCGGGCACGGCCGGGCACGACCCGAGCTGCTCCCAGGTCGATTTAAGTAGTTTTTAATTCTGCAATCTGGGGCAGAGATCAGGAAACAAACAGGTCACTGGGGTCATTTGAGGAAGTCAGAATAAGAGCGAGAGATCCAAGTGGACACACGCGTGAAAATTTGAAAAACTTTGTCAGGTGTCAGTCAGTCAGATGAATCAAGAGGATATGAGAAAGGTCAGATGGTTTCCTAAACCCTAGACATGTCAAGTTTATTTATATAGCAAATTTCACATAACAAGCAGAGTCAATGTGCTTAAAGAAGACAGGATTTATAGCGTTTTTGGGGTTGGTTGAATGTATTCTGTTAATATTCCCCATCATAGCTGCAACAACAATGTTGGAATTTAGCAAGCTTTAAGTTTACACTCTTCTCTAACAGATTTATTGTCACAGAGTCTCCAGCAGAGTGACGCAGTGAAGCAACAGGATTAAATGTGACTGAGATATCACAGAGTACACACACATATTGTAAGCCATAAAAGATCTGACTTTGGGGAAATAACTCCACAACATGAAACGTGCTTTTTCTGTCGAGTGCTTTGAGTTGTGGACTGGAGGCCGGCAGCAACAGCAGCAGAAGTTCACAGGAGCAACAGGACCGTTCCACACACACACACACACACACACACACACACGGAAACAGAGACACACACACGCAAACATAGACACACACACGTTTTACGGTGCGTTCAAGTGACTTGTACATGCCCTGGTGAAAAGAGGATTAGCTTTTCTTATTGTGATATCAGTGGGTTAGGTAGCAAGAGTTGTACAGACACACAAGGTGCACAAAAATCGAAAATGGCGCAAAATAGTCCATTAAAGTGTTTAAGAGACCTATAATAAAAAGAGTTTGTCACGTTTTGTCTGCACAGACCTTGGCACGTCACCTGCAGGTTTCATCAAATTTAAATCAGACTTTGTTAAATTGCTGGCTTTGCGTGAACAAATATGGACACCTGGTTCAGATTAAGACCCTCTTCACACGCTGTGGAGAAGTATTGATCCGGGTCCTGGCTCAGCCTGCGTGCAAAATGTTTCTGTTTTCAGTTTCAGTGCGTGTGTCGTTATCCGTCCTTTGTTCAAATCAGACCTCTAATGACATTCCTCCAACATGACGGCTGATCAATAATTAAATGATGACCTCCCCACACATTTGGCCACATCAATTATTCAACGGATGCTGAATTTGTGATTGAATTTTTTTTTTTTTTTTCAGCCTAATTTGGAGGATTAAATGAACTTTGAAAAGTGTGTGTGGTTGCGGGGGAATATTTGCTTTTCTCAAAGAGGCCTCGATGGCTCCTTTATTTGACAGTAAAGACATTTGTGATGTTTAGTTGTTTTTTTTTTTTTAAACATACAGGTGAGCAAAGAGTCTTTAAATCAGAATCTCACTCTGTTCAGCCAAGAATTGAAAGAAAGGAGCCAAACTAAAGGCTTTGACTCTGAGGACGTTCAGCTTTCCACCAGATTCTGAACTGTGGTGTGGAAGTTTTATTTTAAATTTAGATTTTATTTTAATATTGGCGTTTATATAATTTCGTTGCTGTAAAAAATAGGTAAAATATGAAGTGTATTAATGTGACAGAATCAGGGCATTGCCTTCCTGTTATCTAAAAAATGATCATTAATGTTTTTTTGTTGCACAATGAACATTGGTCAAAGGGTACAAAATCAAAAAAGATGCTGAAGTAACAGATAAACATTATTCAGAAATTAGGCAGTTAATTATAAATGTAATAATATAAATATGATAAGGTTATCATTTCTATAATTTATTACACAAAGATAGGAGCATTGTGGAAAATAAGGATACAAATTAACATCAAACGCAACAACAACAAATAATAATAATAATAATAATAATAATAAGTGTAATTTTCTAACATGTTTTTAATTATATCTATAAATAGTCTGAATATGTATGTAATGTAAAATGTAAATAAGATGATGTAGGCTATTATTTAACAGTTTTTATGCTGACCTTTTAAAAAACTAAATCCAACTTTATTTAAATATTCTGTTCATTTCTTCTTTCTTTTTTTTCTTCTTCATTACAGATGCTGAGGGAGGGCGAGCCTCGCACGTGCCCACCGGCCTGTTTGGAGGATGACCAGTTTACTGGGAAAAACACCAAAAAGTGCCTCTAAACCCCAAATAATCCCACGACATGACGGTTTCTTAACCCTTAATTAACCGACAAACTAAAGTTTTTACACAGTCAGACCGCACAGTGAGCTCAGCACGAGACCGGAAGTTACAGCAGGCCGGACAGTTTTTCTGCAACTTTCAGGTAACAAAAACTCTTCAAAAATAAGAAGAAATAAAACAGAGTTAACTGTCGTGTGTAACGAAAAACAACCACGCTAGGTAACAGCATTTTTTTTTTTTTTTTTTTTTAGACATACAGGTGTTTTATGAAAGACTCAGGTGTTAAATATTCTCACATGTTGACTTATCTGATGAGCAGGGAAGGCCTTTTCGGTTTTTGTTTGAAGAAATGTTCGGCAGATATATTTAAAGTGGAGAAAGTGTAGACAAAAAGACACGCTACATATCACGTGTATTTTACCTGTAAGACAAAATTGTGGGGAAACGGCGATTTTAGTAATAAATATAAATAAATAATAAATAATAATGAACATATTGTCATTTAAAATGTCTAAAATCAGCGCTCTAAGTTCACGCAGAAAATAAATACATCATTTTAAAGTATTTAAAAGAAAAGGCCTAACATGAAACTATAGAGTGTTTTATAGACAATAAAACGCGACATTATGAATTATTAAAGCATGGAATAAAAAATACAAAATCAAAGTCTGACAAAAAAAACAATGAGCATTTTTTAATGTGCTCATTAAAAATGTGTACACTGAATCATTAATGCTACATAGAATAAATGCTCTTGTATTTGTCTATTAATGTGGCCTGAATAATAATTAAAGGGAAGCCGGGATGCTGTTACACCATATGCTTACAACAGTAAGCTGACCTGGTTTCAGTCAGGCAACAATTCTTATGTTTTCTTAGGGGAAAAATGTGGATGAAAATTTGGACTGCTGGTCCTCATTTAACGTTTTCTCTTTAAAATATTTTTTTAATGACATCCAAGCCATGCAAGTCATTAGATGGTTACATTTTGTGGAGATGGGGCACAGCAGTAAAATCACTCAAATCATTTGGACATAAATCCTTGATTTATATAATCAAAAGCAAATAAAAATAAGGGGGAAACCCACAGAGAAGTCAAGGGGAGTTTTGCTCCTTTTAAAATGTTTCTTGGAAGAGAAAAATAAAAGTAGAAAAATAAATTCAAATAAATGTTCCAAAAATAAAAAAGGGCAGCCTATAAACGTCAATTAGGCCGAGCTTTGGTTTAATGAAAGCCCTGAGCGCTGTGTTTTACCACAGCTTCTTGAACCAGACATTACTGCAGACCACAGTGGCTCTGATAGTACACTGTTTTAAGACCGAGCGTTATGTGGGCAACAAGTTCCCCTGAACCTCTCAGTGAGGAGAGACACACTGCAGGATCAGTCAGGCAGAGTTCAGACAACATGGAAGGACTTTCTCTAAGATCTTAAAAACTTGTCTGTAAATCCTAAAAATGAATCAGTGCATGTCTGTCTTTAAAATTACAAGTTGAAGATCCCTGAGTGGAATATAAGAGCAAACAAGTAATCTCTTCAGGTTGTTGTTTTTAAAAGAAACTATGTGATGAATGTTTAGTCGACGGACGTCAACTTGAGCAGAAAAATATCCTCAACTCGCACGAATCTCGTTTGTAAGGGACGGAGGAACAAGGGGGAAAAAAGATGTGCAGCTGCGTGAACGGTTACACATTGAATAAAGAACACTTCAATTTCAAACCAAGTGCCTGATGAGTTTAACAAAACAAGGAAACTTCATATATTATTTTTTAAGATGTTACAGGGAGACTGTCTCCTGAGAAGCTTAAAAATCTATCAAACGATTGTTTAGGAGCACAACATCAAAGTTACATGTTCCCTGCCTTACACACTCGTTTGTGCAAAGAGTTAAATATTTCATCACTTCAAATGACCTTGATGGTGCATTTAAAACAGGAACTATCATTGAGGGTCAATGAAGATCTACATTTTTAAAAAGATAATTGATCAAATCTGTGCGAAAAAGAGAGCCGTAGACTCAACTTGCTCTCCAATGTTCTGGAAAACAAAAGGGGAGAAATGGAGAAGAATAACGGCTGTCTAATTTTGTGGCTTCAATGCAAAATGACAATTCAAATGAATATTTGCAAAGGTGCAAAGAGCTTCTAGGATACAAAAAAAGCTTCATTAGTAACATTTAGAATAAAT